CCATGGGGTTTCAAGGCTGAAATCTTTATGTGAACAGACTGCCAGGTATTTTCTCCCACTGAGCAAGAAGCAGACTCAACCTACTGAGTTTTTCAGTTAGCAAAGAAGTGCTTAACCTCTGAGAGCAGAATATTCTGATACCAAGGACTCCCAACAATATATTAGAGAATCCGGAGGCATTATAAAGAATATTTGTTGACCAAGTCCTAGAGTTATCTGTCAAAACTAGTAAGTGGGAATATTTTTCTAAACATCTTATGTTTTGAACCCAGAAGGTTTATATTCATTTGCTGACTATAGAAGAAAGTAAAATCCTGCAATTACAGAAATGACTAAGGAAGACATTAATTTTATTGCATTTTCTAAGACAGTGCCCCACTGGTAAGAAGGAGCACTGCCAACCCAAAGGCATGGGTTGAAACCTACCCACTGCTGCATGGGAGAAAGATGGGCAACGTATTCTGTGTAACTTCCTACTTCAGAAAACCATTGGAGGGCCAGCCACGAGTTGATTCTGCTTCAACAGTACATAACAAGACAGATTAGAGATTTATATGATTCTTAATTATTTTTAAAAGGTCATTATATTTCTTGGAAAAAAGGAATAACTCAAATTCTACTTGACCACTGAGAATAAAAGAAATAGACTCCTGATATTTCGGAAACTTTCAAAAACTTGATAAAAGATTTGTCCATATATTGACAATATTTTGGAAGTTCTAGAAGGTGCAAGATGTGTAAACAGGTTGGACTTCATCATGGCTTTTCAAAAAGTAGAAGATGATTAAGTTCTTTGATCTTAACAGCACTGTTATTGTTGTTGTATAATGTAAAGTTGATTCCTACCTAACATGCTCTATGAGTAGAACTGTCCCACAAGATTTCCTGGGCTGCAATCTTTATGGGAGTAGATTGGGACTTCTTTGCTGCTTTTTGCTAGTTTCAAAGGAAATCAACCCTCTGGCACAGTTTGAACACCAAACAGCTTGCCATGAGAAGAAGAAATTGACTTGATAGCAACTAGCAATGTGGGGTGAATTTTAATAAACACATCATGGTAACATCTATATACTGCTAACATTAGGCAACACTGAGTAAGGAATATAAAAAAAAATTTCTGCATTATCTTTGCAATTTTTGTAAATCTAACACAATTTAAAACATTTTTAAAATGTTAATATTTACTTTAAACCAGAACTATTACACAAACAGATACATGCACACCCATGTTTATTGTTGTGTTGTTCACAAGTGTTGTTCACAATAGTGAAGGGTTGGAAACAACCCAAGTGCCCATCAACAAATGAATGGCTAGAATGGCTGTGGTATATCCACACAATGGAATACTATGATGCATTGAAAAACAAGGAACTCATGCAATATTATTCAAAATGGGTGATCCTGAAGGACATAATGCTGAGTGAAATTTCTTAGTCATAAAATGACAAATACAGCATAATGCCACTGTGGTAGAACAGGACTGGCATGGGGGGGTTGGAGGAGAAACTAAGAAAAGAGGAGATAAAGAATGTACACTGAATTTAAATAGAAGAGGAGAAGAACTGTAAAAGAAATCTATGATGAGGTATTAGTTGCATGACAATAGTCCAGAATAAGAGGAACATAGCAAAGTGTACTGGGGGAGGGAGTGAGGGAGGAAATGATGCAACAATGAAAGAATCTTTTTAAAGAAAAAAGCGAACTGGGGTGGGAGGTAGGGAAGAAAATGGGCAACAATGAATAAATGAAAATTCAAGTTTTCTGTAAACTTTCGTTAAAATATCAATAAAAAAGAACAAAAACAAAAAATTCTTTTATGTTGTGTGCATACAAAATTCATATATGTTCTCTTTCATTCGTGTACATTGTACGTCACACATTCCTTCATTCACATTGTGTTTCATACAATCATTTTTTAAGGAGCTCTGGTGGCGTGTCCACAGTGTGTTGCACAATGTTTTTTTCTAAAAAGCTGACATAGAATCCTCATTATAGTGTTAGTTTAAGATTTTAATTTTAAAATTTAGAGTCTATTTGACTTAAATCTGTAAGAAATGTTCAGTGTTGCATGTTATTATCTTTCACATGGGAAATGCAGGTGAGCTAAGACTAGACTCATAAAACAAAAGGGCTATTAAATTGATAATACAGCTTTCAATAAAATACCTAATAAAGTCTTTACAGATATTTTCACAAGTTATAAATTTTTAAAAATATTAATACCAAAATATATGTATGGTCCACACAGTAAAAATTATAATGGGTTCTGCACTTTTTAAAAAGCGGCATCTCTACCTGAATATAACTTAAAACTAGAAATAGCTCTTGCTTCTTGTTGTTGCATGTCATCAAGTCAGAACTGACCCATAGCTGACCCTCCAATGACCTTTCACATCAGTACATCACATGGGAGGAGACTGCCCATCCTTCTCCCACAGAGCGGCTTGTGGGTGCAAACTGTGTGCCTTTGGGATTGGGTTTGATGTACAGCAGCTTCTTACCACTAGGCCACTAGTAACTAGAAAGTATAAACTCGTTTTTTCTTTCAACAATCTGAGTCAACTAATTAATCCATAGTAGATGTACTTGAACTTCTAGGAAACAGCAGTAAGACAAAAAAAAATCTATAATATCAATAACTCAACTAATGTGTAGATCCGTAGTAAGTCTGTATTTCCAACACTTTTTTTTTTAAGATTAACATTCATTGACTTCTTTTACTGAGCAGAAGAGTCCCTGGATGGTGCAAATGGTTAAGAATTTGCTTCTAACTAAGAGGTTGGTGGTTTGAATCTTCCTGAGGAGACTTAAGAACTATAGCACTATGGAGTGGCTAATCTAACAGGAGAGAAATTAGCTATCCTAAAAGGCAACTCTGACATGGACGATTAAAAATGAGTACTCAGGCATGGACCTTTGTATAGACTTTCTCACCATTTAGTTTTGTAGTAACTAGACTAATTGTTGTTTAAAAAAAATAAAACAGAAAGGCAGAGATACAAAGTATCTTCTGCTCTTGGGTGGATAGCAAATTCACCAAAATCATGAAAACAAGACTCATTCTTACTCTGGTTATAACACTCCAGACCATACAATCCACGGTCTCAAAAGCAAGGTTGACCAGTACAATGGTCAAGTGAGCTACTGAATTGACTGGCTGAATTCTTGGAGAATAGGAATGCATGATCTTTGGCCAACAATTCATTAACTATAGAGCTGTCTTGAATGGTTTGTCTTGAAACAATGAAACAACTCAGTTCCAACATAATGGAAAGAATCACTTTACACTTCTCAAGGTAAATATCTATCCTCTATATGTGGAAGACATTGTACTCCAAAGAGGGGGAAAAAATCATTATTTTTAAATTTCCTCTAGCTCCAGTTTTTCCCATGTTTACCCCCCTTCCATAAGTATCCTGTCGAAGCAGCACAGACCTCCATTTCCCAGCACAGTAATTACAAAATGATTTTGTTATTAAGCTGTGGTTTATTCCCACGTCTTCTGGATAGTCTCGAGCAGGACTGCACTTGCTTAACTCTAGAGATTTTATAATAAAAGTTTAATAAGTTACTTATTATTACAAGGTTTATAGCCATTATTTAAAGGTGAACAATAATGACGTAAAGTTTGCACGTATTTGGTTTAAAACGTATTCAACTCACATATCAGTTAACGCTACAATGACTAAAAAAAACAAAACAAAACAACAAACCACAAACAAAAAAACCACCACCACCAAATCTCTTATCAATACACCTGTTTACAGGGACTGTAGCTAAACTCCAGGACTGTAGCTTAGGATTCAGCCAAAAAGTGGTTCTCGTTTGTAAACACGTCAAATCCAGGCCTTAACTTTTATCCTTTTAGAATTCAAAAGAAGATTGTTTTTATTACAGCATTTTTTAACAGATTTCACAAAGGAACACGTAAAAAAAGAAAAAGGAGATAGAATGTTGAAATTAAGTCCTGAAGGCACGGCATATTTATTCCTATTTAAAAAGCTAATCAGATATTCTATTAATGATCATAAATATTAAGAGAAAACACCCAAATAAATCTAGCTTATCTGACTTCTGTCTCACTGTAATATTATGAAAGCTCAGTCACATCTCAAAAAAACACCTTCTTAGCTTTGTAGACATTGACTACAAGTATACAGAGACTAGATTTTCCAGAAATTATAAACATAGGACATACACACAAACACACACACCTTGAGTAGAACTGTCAACTCAGAAGAAAAACACAATGAACTATCTTTGTACAAATAAAACAGATTTACATTTCATGTTCATACTGTAACTTCATATTCTTAGATAACGCTAGATGGTTTCTTTGAAAAGTATGGCTGAAATCAGTACTTGATTTTCTTTTCAGAATTATTATTTGCTGCCTTCCTAAGGCAAAAATTATTCATTAAATCAATTTGAATATAAAATGTTATCTCAGAATTTGCCACAGTGCTCCAATTCTAGAAACATGAAGAGTCAAAGCAAGGTTTTCACACACACAAAAAAGGGGGGGTGTAAATTACACTAGACAAAGAACAAAATAAACACAAAGAATGAAACTAAAACTAAATTAAACCAGAATCACATAAAGAAAATAAATGTTTCATTCTGATATATCAATTCTTTTTCCCTCCAAGAAGAGAAAATAAAATAAATGGTAACTTTCATTTGCCTATGCCACATAGTACATAAAAATAGATGACCAGCCTCACTGTTTGGAAAAGTATCTATAAAAAACTGTGTTTGCTTCCCTTATACTTTTTTCAAGTTGATACAATTCTTTGACCATTTATTAGGTTGGCCCTTTCTATTCCTATGCCATAATTTGTTTCTATCAAGAAACAGGATTATAAGAAGTAATTCATTCTAAAGACATATTCAAGGACCTAGTGCAAGAAATGGAATTTGCTTTATGACTATCTAACAATTCCTCTCTTCTCCACAACACAGAAAAAACCGCAGCATGTGAATGAAAAATATGCTCTTACCTCCCATCCGTAACTGGGGTCTTTCAGACTTGACCTCTGCTCTCCGACGTAAGGCCCGAACTTCTCACCAGGTTCAATCTTTCTTTTGGTCCATATTCCTAGTCCTGCTCCAGGTATACTGGACTCTCGTAGTTCGAACTCCGCAGGGATGGGGATATCATCAGGGATGTAGATGGGGGCTTTGTAAGGAGAGCCTTCCTTGGGGGTAAATGTTTCACTGGAGGTGGCTGGCGAGCATGGCTCTTGAAGATTGAGAGACGTGCTAACTACTCCCTCTGCATCTGGCATTTCTTCCGAAGCTACTTCAGAGTAGCTGCCATATACACACTCGTTACCTGTGAATGGAGAAGAACGTGATGAGTTCCCGCTGATGAGCTGTTGGTTCTGTCAGCATCACTTAAGTTACCACCAGCCAGGGCCAATTTATGCACAGTTTAGCAAATCCCTTCTCCACCTTGCGTTAACCCCCACAGGCAGTCACAGATCACAGATGGGGACTGGCGTGACAATAAGGATCTCACTGGCTGACTGCAGATTTAGAACATCTTTCTAACCGTCCTAGGCTGGAAATTCTGTTGATGTCGATTCGGTATCACAAAAGGATGAAAGTATCCACTGACTGAAGTAAGGTGACTTGTTCGTGAGTCGCCTGGGTGGGGAATCTGACCTGGATCCCTTACACAAGAGCACACTCTCCTGCAGGCTCCTCACTCTTCCCTTGGACACTCTGCTGCTGCTCTTGACCCATAGCTAGCCGATGCTCCAACAAGCTTCCATGGCCATTAATCACAGAGGAGGAGACTGCCCATTTTTCTATTGTGGAGCAGCTGGTGGATTAGAACCTTCTGCCTTTGGATTGGCACTGCCTCTCCCTACACTTGGCCACCAGAGCTACTGTCCTCTGATACAGGACAAATCCTATAGCTTGGTAATTCCCCTCTAATGTAGTTGGTTCTTGGAAGAACAAATAGGAAAGACCACAGGCTGTAATCCAGAGATTATATCTAATTATTATATCGAATCATTATATAAAATAATATAATTATATGTAATATTATAATATTACATATACTATTATATATATCTCCCTCTTCATTTTCTAAGGTGAATCTATAACTCTTCAGACACAATATTCAGCTGCCGATACTTCAAGAGACAGCTTAATTCGTTACCCAGCTGGGAAACAATCAACAGTGCAATCATTGGTTAATGTAATTATTACTTAGTTAATAGAATCCCAGCCCAAACTTCCTCAAACTGGGTACTATAGAAGATCATATCATTTACTAAACATCTCTATCTATGCCACAGTATTCTGAGATTCCAAACTTCCATAAGCAACGAGGTTTAAGTCATATGGCAAGATTATTTATTGGAATACTAATTTGTGTTTATACAGTTTTTCTTGTCTATTTTAAACATATAGCCAAACTCTCGCTATCTCCTCCCTTCAGTAATTTATGCAGACAGAACTTCATAATACATGAAGCTATTGATTCCTTTGGACAGATATTAAAGCCCACATCACTGAGGAAAATAGATGGCTATCCCAGACGAGAAAAGAAGAAGGCTGGCACTTTCTGTCAGTGTAGGAAAGGCCAGATATCAGAGAACTTCTGCACGCAGCAATGTCCTGAGACGGTGAGAAGGTATTTGTGGGCTTGGCAGGCAGAGCACTCAGCACAGGAGCTCTGGGCAAAGCTCTCCCCAACGTGGCAGAGCCACCGCACACGAGCCACTGAATGTTCTTCATCAGATCTTGGGCATTTCTGCAACTTGTTAGGCTGTGAAGGGGCTTCCACAATGAACGGACCTTCAATTTCCCACCAGCTCAAAGGGACAGAAGTGGTCTGAAAACAATGTTTTGTCCCCATAATTTTAAAATTCATTTTAATAAAAGTTTACAGAGACTTAGGGTTTCCAATCATTCATTATTGCACTTTTCTCCCTGCCCACCCCCTTCTCCCCAATTCACTTTTCTCCTTGAGGAGTAAAAGAAAAACTCATCTATGCAATCCCTCCCTCCAAGTCCACTCCACTGTATAGCCTTCATTCTGGACTCCTGTCATGACAATAATACCCAATCATATATCCCTTTTAAACTGTTCTCTCCCACATCTGTTGCAATGCAGTACACATCATTCCTCCCCTCCTTCTCTGTCTTCCCTCAACCCCAATGTCAGTCCTGTTTTACAACGGTGGCCCTATGTCCCCATAAGTTGATATACCAGAATCAAATTGACCACATTTGGGGGGGGGGGGGAAAGGCCATGAATCAGGTCAATATCATCGGTCAGACAAAGATCAAGAGTTAATTTGGAAAGACCATCAATTAATTGCTCTTTAGTAAATCCATGTTGATGATGGAAAACAATAAAGTCAAGTCTACAGAAGCCAAAATATAAACACTAATGATCAAAGATCAAATGAGTGGTGAGATTTTAATCAAGACATCATCCATGAAGAATACAAAAGACTATTACACAGGGAGTGAAGAAAGAGTGAAACAGATGTCACAGAGACAGTGAAATTTGCTCCAGAATGTAGAGAAACTAAAGCAAATGGAAGAAATAATCAAGACAGCTGAAAGAAGATTTCAAAGGGCAGCCCCAGAAAAGAAAGTATTAAATAAAAGGTGCAAAAGTGTGGAGTTAAAAAAATCAAAAGAGAAGAATATGTTTGGCATTTCTCAACCTAAAGTCGGGGGCGGAGGGAGGTGGGTGGGAAACAGCAACAAACCCAGAAGAATAAATTCAAGTCTCAAGTTACCAACGTGAAGGATTCTTTGAGCAAAACAATGACTGATGTAGAAGGCTTGAAAATAAGATGGAAGGAATATGCAGAGTCACTGTACCAAAACATTGGGTGACAATAAACAATTTCAGGATGTAGCAAAAACAAAGAACAAATGGTAATAAAGGAAGTCGTCCAAGCATTCACAAAGAAAATCAAGGCTCCAGGAACTGTCAGAATACCAACTGAGATGTTTCAACAAATGAATGCAGTGTTAAGTGTGTTTCTTGGTACCAAGAAATTTAAAAGCTGTAGCTACATAACCAACAAACTGGAAGAGTCCCATTTTAATGTCAATTCCAAACAAAGGTGATCCAACAGAATGTAGAAATTAGTAAATAACATCACTAATGTCACACAGAAGTGAAATATTGCTGACTATAATTTTAAAATGATTCAGCAGTACACCAGCCAGGAAAACACTGAAATTCAAGTTGAATTCCAAAGAGAACATAGAATAAGGAATATCATCTCTGATGTTTGAAGGATCTTCTCTGAAAACACAGAGCGTGATGGAGATGTGTACTTCTTAACTGTGCAAAGGTATTCAATTATATGGATTATACCAACTTATAGATAATATTGAAGAACAGAATTATAAAATGTGTATTTGAGTACATAAACTGAAAGAAGCTGTTGCTTTGAAGGGTAAGGCGATAACTGTATAGTTTTAAATCAAGAAATATTATTAGACTTGTGTCCTTTCATTATATTTATTTAATCTGTTGTTGTTAGGTGCCGTTGAGTTGTAGATGACTCATAGTGACCCTATGAATGAAAGGCCTGAGCACTGTTCATAGAGTTTCCGGAGGCAAGCTGTTTCAGAAGTGGATGCCACTCCTGCTTCCAAGCTTGTTTTAATCAGGAGCTCCACCAAACACTGTCCACCATGGGTGACCATTATCACATTTGACACATCAGTGTCACAGTGTTCAGCATCACAGCAACCACAAGTTACCTCTGAATCTGCACCTTAGCCAAATAATCAGAGACCAGACTATAGAAAGAAGAAAATAATAATGGGATTGGAGGAAAACTCATAAACAAACTGCAATATGCAGATTACACAGCTACGCTTGCTTGAAGAGGATTTGAAGCAATTAACGGAGTATAACGACCACGATAAACAGAAAATACTGATTTTATAAAAAATTTCACTTTAATTACATCCACAATTAACAACCATGGGAGTCAAGAAAAAAATTACATATTGCAATGGGCAGATTTGCTTCACAGAACCACTATAAAATACTAAAACGCAAGGGTGTCACATTGAGGACTAAGGTGTACCTGATTCAAGTCAGGATATTTGCTATTGCTTCATATTCATATGAAAGTTAGACAATAAGAAAGACTGATGATGAATCAATGCCTATGAATTGTGGTATCAGCAAAGAATATCAAGTCAAACCCATCAGAAGAGACATCTGTCTTGAAAAAAGTGTAGCCAGAATGCTACTTTGAAGTAAAGATGGCAGGATATGCTTTGGGTATGTTATCAGAATGTCTTGAAGAGATTCATCATGCTTGGAAAAATACAAGGTTAGCAAAAAAAGGGGATGTTCCTCAATGACGTGACAGAAACAATGGTCGCAAGCATGATAGAGAACTGACTTGGCAACACCTGACATAAATAACAAGATTATTGTTGTTGCTAGCTTCCTTTCAGTCAGTCCTAGATGCAGAGCAACCCCTGTAGACCGCTGGAGTCCACAGAATTTTCACTAATTTTTCAAAAGTCAATTGCCCAGACTTCCTTCTTAGCTCTTCATGTAGAATCTCCACTAAAATCTGTCTCACACCGTAAACACACAGAAGCCTCCTGTGTGATGGAGACGGGTATTGACGGCAGAATCAAAGTCAGGCTTCCCACGTGGAAGACAAGAAGGCTGTGACTGAATCACCACTGTCTCCCACCACCAGGATCGGGGCTTGAGAACTACATCTGACTTATTTGATTTATAGATGTTTAGGGTGAGATGCTAAGGGAGCTCTGGTAGTCTAATGGCAAGAAGCTGTGCTGCCATCCCACAGGCACGTGGTTCAAATCCACCAGCTAATTCACAGGAGAAGGATGGGCAATCTCCTCTGGTTCAATAAACTGCCTCTCGAAACCCTTCAGAGTGTTGGTTCTGACTCAACAGTACACAACACCACCACAACAAGGTGAGAAAAGTGCAATAGGCATATTTCAGCTCCAACTGAGGAAAAGCTTAGTCACCAGGATTTTTAAAACATAAAAGAGGTTGCCTATAGTTATCATTGCAGGAGTTTTAGTATGACCAAAAAATACCACAACAAGTTAGGGGTTAACATGCAATAAATTTCACTTCTGCTTGGTGACTAGACTACTAACATTACAGTTCTACAAATTAATAAAGTCGCCTGAGAAATTACTGACTTGTCACTCCTGTAGATATATGCCATCAAGTAGGAGCTGATTCACAGCTGACCCTCCAGTGGGTTTTCAGAGGCTGTAAATGGCCTGGAGGAGCTTACCCATCTTTCCCCCACAGTGTAGCTGGTGAATTCTG